TTTTTTGATCAAGTTTTTGACGCCTTGCTAGGCGACTGGTGATACTCGAATATTGCCATATCCTAAAAGTGGTACAATGGGTGAAAAGGTTGAAAAGCCCTGCTTTAAAGCATTTTGAGGTCCAAATTTAATACGGCATCCACCCAAGTGACAATTTATGCAAACAAAACAAAACGATACAGTGCCAACAAAATTCATGGGTTCCCCCACACACGCATATACACAGAGGCATACTAATGTTCCACTGTGGACTTGCAACTGGAATGTCTCAAATCAAAATGAGGGTTTGGAAGCAAACAATCAGTTTAAGAGCCATTTTTCCTCACATATTTATTATCTTTAGCTCTAGCTGATGACCACTCTATGAGTTCAAAAACAGCAGTTGAATCAACATTAATGCCTTATGGATATGTGGCTGAATTATTTGTATTTATTGGTTATGAAAAAGATTAAAAAGATTTTTCTTCAAAAACGAAGCAATGCGGGACACCAAAATCAGTTTAACAGGATCTCAGAGTAAGAAATAATGGGCTGCAAAAGTCTACTTGGGAACTTGGGATCTAAGTACACTTACCTTCCCCAGATTGAGAAAAGAATTTTTAAGGCTAGGCACAACGTTCTCCCTTCTGCACTTTTGCAGGGTAGATACTGTAAAACCCCATTAGCTGAGAGCACTTGCCCATGTGAATCTGGGGAAATTGAAACAATACAGCATATTCTATTATACTATGCTTTGTAGGATCTCTGTAAAAGTTATATTTTGCCCCTCCTATGCCAATATTCTGGCAAAACACATAAGTTTTATGTCAACTTTCATCTTTCAAACACAAAACATTCCATTACCTACATAATAGCCAGATAATGAGTAGCCACCATGAAAATGAGGCAACAGATGATATATACATGACATGTATTGTTGTGTGTTTATAATTTTGTCGATCATTAATTATAAAGACGTAGATACAATATGCTTTTTCGCCATAAGGCCATCGGATTTCCGGAATGCTCCTCCCCAGAAAGGCGTAAGGCAGCTAAATCTTTTAAAAGATTTACACAGGTCTTTTCTAAATGAAATTGGAGGAACAGGAGTTTTTAGTTTTCATTTTCCCCACCTGGTTTATGTATAAAACTGATCATAATATTTCTGGAGTAATTCATTCATATTCAAAAACCAACATTTGGAACTGAAGTAAGATTGATTCAAGCTCAAGATGGCATTGTTTTCAGACTCAGAATGCTTCTACTACGGTCAGATAAGTATCAAAATATTTCTGAACATCTCTTCTGAGCTCAATAGAGGACAATTTTAACTCCAAACAGAATTTCTTCCATGAAAGTTTTGGAATCCGAACTATTTTGCACACCACTTCTTTTGATTGGGTTTTTCTTGCCAGAGCCCTAAATATCTACTGAATGGCCACCCTCATCATCCCGAGCTAATAGGGAAGATTGAGAAAGCTTTATTACATTACATTAGCAATACAGGATATTGTATACAAAAGTTCAAGGAAGCTGTCATGACACATTTTAGATCTAGAAAGAAGGAATATGGTGGGAAATATGACTGGCTTCATATTAAAAAAATTCACATCACAATGGTTATACATCCTTCTGTGAAAAATAAAATATAATTGTACATTGAACAGAAATACCTCTTAGGAATCTGGGCAATGTATCATCTTTCCCCTCATTATACTTCCTGCATAAATTACAATGGAATCATACTGAGTAAAATAACTACAGGCTATAATTTATGTCTAAAATTGATCTAAATTGAAACCACATCAAGCTTTAATTGATATTTCTAGCAGTGAAAATGAATACTGCTTTTTCCATCAAGCTGCCCTATAAAGCTGCTTTTAGCAAACTATATAAAAGGTAAAGTTGCTTTAAACGAAAGGGATACACATTTTACTTGTTATGCCACACTATCTCAAGCTCAAATATACCCTGCACATGTACATAATAAAAATAACTTAGGAGATTTCACTTTCATCTAACATGTTTCTCAAATATCATTTTGATAAACATGCAACTGCATTCCTAGGCCCTCCCCAAGATACAGTGTACCTTAAAAGCTGTAAAGCTAAATTAAATGAACCAACCAAATTATTGTTTTTTTTAATATTTTCACCTTTGAACTACAATTATCAATATTAAAAGCCTTCTTTTAATGGACAATCCAGTAGTTTCTGTCCAGCTGGGTCTTTTGATTTCTGTTCTGAGGTTGGAAGCAAAGATAATGAATCAAAATCACAGCACCAAAATACAAATACTGCTTGGGTGGGGGAGGTTAAAAAAAAACAGTCCTGTCATGGTCATCAAGTCATTCAAACCAAATAGCTATGTACAATATGCTTTGTTTGCAGCACCACTGCAGTTTTCTACTGCCATGGTAGCTATTATAAAAACTAAATATTCACCAGTGTTAAATATTTAGAACCTGTGAAGCAGAACCACAGCTATCACTGAAAGTCATATTTGTTACTAAATAGCTTCTTACATTTCCCGGCTGCATTCCCCAATACACGTTTACTCATCTATATCATAGGACAACAATTTTTGAACCAAAATACCTCAACATGCTAACTCCCAGAATGTGTCCAAAATCTGGAACCCATGATCCTATGGTATTGAAATTTGACAGGTTTTATCAAATATTTTATGGCATAATACAAAATGTCATAAAATATTTCCTATGGTCAACTCCTGCTGTTTGACTATGCTATGTAGTTCAACGTGGGCTATTTTCAAGGCAGATATCTCTAAATGTGTACCTGAACTTTTAAAAACTTTTGCAGTGAAAGCAGTGCATTAGAAGCTCTGCCACTGTTGAAGGCACTGAGGAATCTGGTAAGAAAATGCAGCCTAATGGGTCATGGGTCATCAAGTTTGTGTATGTAGACATACACACACATACACACACACACACACACACACACACACACACACACAGAGAGAGAGAGAGAGAGAGAGAGAGAGAGAGAGAGAGAGAGAGAGAGCAGAGATCCCTCCCTTCTCCTTCAATTATTACCTTTTGTTAATAGAAGAAAGCTTTTGTTGGAAGAACTGGCAGAATCCAATGTTCAGGAATCCCTCCTTACAGCCCTCAACACAACTCCACCCCACCTTCAGTATTGCCACAGTACAGATAGCTAAGGTATTCTCCAATACCTTAGAGAAAGAGACCAGACAGAGAGAGAGACCAGAGAGAGATCCCTCCCTTCTCCTTCAATTATTGCCTTTTGTTAATAGAAGAAAGCTTTTGTTGGAAGAACTGGCAGAATCCAATGTTCAGGAATCCCTCCTTACAGCCCTCAACACAACTCCACCCCACCTTCAGTACTGCCACAGTACAGATAGCTAAGGTATTCTCCAAAACATCAGGATTGCAGAAGTATCTAGCACCTTACTCTTCTTCATTTGGTTAATAATGGTACCTTAGATTCTATCTTTTAGGTCTAGTAGAAAATCAGAAAAAATGATTTATTAACACTCATATTATTGCTTGACAAATCACATAAAACATACAAAATTATATGAAGATTGTATACTAATTTAATAAACACTCATAATTTTAATATCTTGGCTAGCTAGAAAGCCTCAGAATCTATAATTCTACTCATTAACTAAAAGCTCAAAGCTCTATCTTTCAAAACTAAATCACATAAAAGCCATTAGAATGCCAATTATGATTTAATATGATTAAGTTTGTTCTTAATTTTTTAAGAGTTAATTCTTCATTTTTTTAAAAAAAAACTATTTTTCCATTATCATTCAGAATTCTTCATCAGTTGCCATCCTCCTTCATTTGTAAAAGCATTACGTCTGTAATTAAAACCATTAGTTTTTAATTGTGCAATATTAAATAACAGTAGCAGCAGAATTATAAATGCAATCAAAATTTGCATTAATTTAACATGGGTGTAAGCCTTTTATTTATTTATTATAACTTTCAGAATAGAAATATTTATGGCTGATAAAAAAAAGTGAAAAGAAAAAAAAACACACTGAATATGGGAAGCAAATCAGGACAAACAACCAAAACAATTTTTTACAACATCCTAAGTTTTGAAATATTCTTATGATATTCCAAAACTCTTTGAAAATTGGGCTGCTTTCCCAGGCCTGGGGGCAGACTTATTGTTAAGTCATTTTTCTTTAGTATATTGTATTTCTTTTGTTTGGATGCATCTGATCATTTCTTTTTATATTAGGGTATCCAGAGTTGTTTGGAGTTAGGCAGTATCTATATTTTATTAACTAAATTAATATTTCACCAGATGCCTTCCAATCCTGAACCCCAAATTCAGTATGCTACTTCAAGTGCCTTACCAATCAAGGATTTCTTATCTAACAGCACCAGAAAAATACTATTCTAAACCATTCGAGCTGAAAAACAAAGAGCTCAAAACTTTTAACTTTTTTTTTCTTCGATCAAAATGAAATCCCCTCTTATCTCCTATATTAGCTCTACCTAGCATGAAATGAATGCTAGATTAAGAGAATGTGCAGTTAATACAAATTTGGTACCTTAAACAAGATAGTCATCGTGTATGTTAGTTGTACTATCTGTATTCTACCAGCACTCTGTAAAGGAGAGGTTCTTCTTATTTTAACTCAATATTTCAGCAGCAACTCTGTGGTTTCAGTACAGCATGTACAATGGGGAAATGAGAATGCTAAGGTTATGAAATTGTGGGTAATTTATCAGGTTCTGAATAGCTTAAATTCAGCAGGCTCAGTTAATATTGACAACATGTTCGTAACTGGCTTGCCAATGTCTTCTTTCTATGATCAAGAAAGCAGTATTAAAATTCACAGTGTTTGGGTTTCCAATCTGGTGCCTTAACAATTATACCAAGAAAACTGCAGGGACTAGTCCAGGCAGTTGCCAGGAATCAATACTGACTTGAAGGCACATATTAAAACAGTAATTACAATAACATATTTAAAACAAGTTCAAAAACATGCTATATTGTGTTCTAGTTCACCATTACCAATTTTAAGTGTTCTTTTCTTTTTCTGCCAGAAAAGGAAGTTGACGAGCAAGCTTCCGATTCTGGAGTTCCCAGCTTGCCGTTATCCTCCTCCCCGTCTTCATCATCTTCCTCAAAGCACCATTCTGGTAAAGGAGGTGGTGCTGGCATATCAGCCATATCGCCGTAACGACGGAAGAGTTCTTTCAAATAGTCACCTTTGTAGATACCAGGTGGTCTGGCTTGAGCAAAAGTAGCCACAGAAGCTTCAATACTGCAAAAAAAAAGTGACATTGTGTGAGACAATGTAGGCGTGAAAAGAAAAATTCGGAAATGGCTCCAAAAAACCAAGAGCATGGAGCAGTAGCAGATCCAAGAGGCAGCATCAAATATTCCCCACTGGCTCCCATAAAAATCTCACAGCAGTTCTTATTACACTGCCAAGGCTATACTGAGAGGATTCTTAACCGAGGCTTCCCTGAGGGCTGTGAATAGATGTCATGGGACCCATGAACCTGGAGGGCAAAAAATACTATTTTATTTTGACTAACCTTTAACGAAAACTTAGCTTTTCATTCAATAATGTATACAGGCCACAAAGCAATTTACAGGCTGTAGACTCCAAAAATGTTTCTGAACTTCAATAAAGTGTAGGAATCTAAAATTATTATATACTAAAAAAAAGTGCATACCCCTATTATTGAGTTAATGGATTAATAAAGAAGCACATAATATTACTAAAGTACATATTTGTTATTGTTTTAATATTTTGATATCTACCTTTGAGTTTTATTTATTTAATTGCTTGGCTACCCAACTTGAACAATACATAACTAAATAATTTGTAAACTGGAGTTGCTGAGAATCGAGCAGCATATATGTTTTATTAATTAATTAACAATGAGACTCTGAGCAGCCTACAAGAAATAATCAAGATAAAAACAACAATCAGGAATTAATAATAATAATCTTACAATGATACCTTTAATACCATCAAATAAAAATCTGCCTATCCCAGGTCCTTGGGAAGGACTCAATAAGTGGATAAAAATGCCAAATCCAGTCTAAACATCTGGGTGATAGCATGGCAAACCATAATTATAATTCATTTCTTTTATATAGGTAGCCTTCGAGTTATGATAGCAATTGGGACCAGAATTTCTGTCACTAAGCAATGTGATCATAAAGTTCAACGTCGTGTGGCCACATAACTTACTACCAGCCATTTCAGTTGCCATCATAATTAAGGGCCGCATGGGACATTGAGGACCAGATCTGATCACAACTTCTGACATCCTGCCAGCTTTGCCATTGACTTTGCTTGGGGGAAGCCAGCAAGAAACAATGGAATGTCTGGTCACACGGTTGCAGCTTTTGTAATGTAATCATGAGCTGGGTAGATCAGGGGTAGGCAACGGCTGGCTAGGAATTCTGGGAGTTGAAGTCCACAAGTCATTAAAGAGCCAAGGTTGCCTACCCCTGAACTAGATCATAAGCATGTGACTGCAAGGATACTGGAACAGCTGAATTCCAAGAACCGGTCATAAGTACCATTGTTTAGTGCTGTTGTAACTTCAAACAATCAATAAATGAACGCTCATACTCATAACCCAAGTATTACCTGTAATGCAACTATATCTACGCATTTAATTTGATGTAATTTAATTTAAATACATTTTATTGAGAAAGCATCCATACGTTTCACCAGAAACTCAAAAGAGATTTATGGCAGAAAGAACTTACAGTATTTCAAAACTTCTCCCAAACCACAGAAAAGCTAAGGCCTACAAGAATATCACTGAGATCACAGAGCAACTCAATGATAAGTACAGATCATGAATTACCACTGGCCATGCGGAACAACAGAAACAAAAGGATTGTTTCTTCTGTCAAGAAGTAGCTCCCTTTGACCCTCCCTGAAGGTTCATCAGCAGAAAAAACAGACTACCATGATATCTTAAGAATCACTTAGGTGGCTGATTGGCTGATCATGAAAAACTAAGCACAAATAAACCAGATTTGTCTTCAGATAGGAACCAAGAAATCCCTAGGAACCAAGAAATCCCTAGGGGTGTCAAACTCGCAACGTCATGTGACGTGTCATGACGTATCGCGACTTTTTTTTCCCATTGCCGGCAATGGGGTGGGCACGGTTTTGGTATGACACATCCGGCCCGCGGGCCGGCAGTTTGACACCCCTGCCCTAGGCTGTTGACTAAACTGGAAAGTAAAAGCAAAAGGCAAAATCTGGGAAGAAGGGTATGGGAAACCACTGCTGTATCACTGCTCAGAAAACTGCATGAGGTTACCAGGAGTTAAGCTCAGATCAAAGGAGACTTTACTCTTAATGGTAAACACAGGAAACCCAAGCTTGTTTTTTTCTATCCTCCTTCACAATTCTTTTTTCCTTATTTTTTTATATAGATAAACCCAAGTATAAGACTATCTAGGCCAGGGGTAGGCAACCTTGGCTCTTTTATGACTCGTGGACTTCAACTCCCAGAATTCCTGAGACAGCATGGCTCAGCTTGGAAACCTCTCCCTTTCCTCTCAGCATGGCTGGCTCAGGACTTCTGGGAGTTGAAGTCCACGAGTCATAAAAGAGCCAAGGTTGCCTACCCCTGATTCTAGGCAAATCACTTTGATAGTATGCTTGCCTAAAAACAGGGAAAATGTTTAAAAGTTCTAAACATTTTAAAATAAATAAACATAATTCCTAACTACTAATTACTAAATCTTGGGTTCACAATATATAACGCAGCTATAACGGATTTTTCGTAATGTGTCAGGTATGAAACTGTCAAGAGAAACAAATGTATTAGGAGATTTACCTGGGTTTCAGTCTTAAATAATTATTATTTTTAAATATACCACACTTTGGGGGAAATAGAGAGCAAAAATTATAAAAGTAATTGCCAATGTATACTATGTTTTAATTACAAAAGAAACAGCCTTGCACTTTGAAAAAAGTGAAGTAGTTGCTAAAGAAGAAAATACAACAAGGCTCCCCAAACAATTACTGCTTTGATGCTCTTTCTTTAAACAAGCTATAAAACCCATATTAGCATTTCACATCTATATTTCTTCTACATTCACATGTCTAAGAAATAAATGGTAATAAGAATATTCTGTAGGAAATGTATTCTCATAAACACAAATACTAAATGTCTAGTTGAAACAGCACTGTAACAAAGGAGACTTTGCAAAATGTGATGATTGTGTTAAACTATTATCTTGAAGAAATTCTCCCCTAGATTCTACCCTTTCCACCATTTTTAGAAAATACTTTAAATCTGCTAGATTGTCAGCACTTCTGCCTTGTAAAGGTGAGCAGAAAAGAACAAGAACTACAATTATTTATTTATTCATTTAGTTACCATATCTTGTATGCTACTCAATTCAAAACAATTCCAACCAATATACTATATCTATAGGAGATACAAAATAATTGTATTTAGTGTTTTCGGGTTATAATTTGGAGAACGTGAGAAACATAAAATTAAAATTTGGCAGCACATAAATAATGCAAACAAAATGTATGACAACAACACAATAAAACAGTTTTCTGATCAAAAGAAGCATCTCCTCTCAGTGGCATAAAAGGCACATTGATAGCTAAATGATAAAACTGGAAAACTTTCGATTCTAAATATAGTAAGCATAAAATCCGTTGAAATATTCACCAAAGCAAAGCCACAAGACACCTTGGAACACTTAAAATCGTAACAGAATATTAGGCAGGAAAGATTTAATACAGTAAAAGACATTCATACAAAAAAATGGAATCTGGCAATCTCCACAGAACCCAAACGCACAAAAAGTAGGCCTACTGTAGGGCTTCCTAAAACAGTGGGGCAGGATGTCATTTTCTCATTTTCTGCTAAACACAGGATATCTCTCCACTTGACTGTGATTCCAAATTAAAGATGATGACTTCAGCAATAAGCAATGGATTTTTTTTTTGAGAAATGGCATGCTTTGAGAATATCAAAAAAAGGAGAGAATGTAATTGAATACAAACTGTAACTATTACAGGAGATACTGTAAAATATTATTAATATGTGTCTAGACACCACTGAAGTGTGAAAAATGTAAGAACATTAAAAAAACAGTTACTGCTGGCATACAGCATTCAACGTTTCATTATTGGAGAAAAGCAATAAAGGTTCTTCAAGAATCTTCCAATTCACCTGAGCATTTCACAAAGAAACTGTATTCCTAATATCCTAACTTTTCCTGGATACAATCTTCCAGTTGTCTGAATAAAATGTACAAACATATCTCAACGATCTTGAAATTTTAAATCATATCAAGCACAACAAACGAACATTATTTCAGTGTATACAACTGCATACCCAAGCCACACTGGTTGTTGTTGTTGTTTTTTAAAGTATTGTTAGATGCAAATGTAGTATTTTCAAATCTGGGACTTTTCTCTTATCACATACAGAGCACAGATTATGTTTCGCTCTTGAATAAAATAGATTTATCCCTGGGTATGTATAAGATTACCCTTTTACAAAAACTGTTCACCCTGGAATAACCAATTTGCTCAGCAGAGAGTCTGTTAATGTCAGCTATTCTTTAGAAGAGGTTATTTTCAAGCATGAGGGCATAATAAGCATCTCTCTTTGCATCTTGAAAGCAGCCACATCTTTTATCATGCTAATGACAGAGTTATGAAAGCATATGCACATGCATAACTGACCTTGCTTCCTCCTACAATCTGTCATGCAGCCACTATTAAAAACAGTCGCCCTTCTTTCTCATGTAATTATCCATTTTCACCCTTCCTTCCCCCCCCATTATATGCCTGCCAATGTAATGTTATACTTCAAATTTCTGATGAAATATCCTCCAGTCCATTTATGCCAAAATAAAGCACGTTAATATTTAATATGCCACAAGCAGCAGCTGCACAAGCCCAGAAAAAGATCTGGCTGATTTAATGATTCAAAGACTTCTTACACATCCCGCACATTGCAATGCACTTCTTTCAAAGGAAGGTCACCGCAGCTGACTTTGTGCCTGAGGCAGGACTAGAACTCGGGGTCTCCCGATTCCTAGCCTGATGCGTTCACCACTACATCAAACTGGCTCTTGAAGAATACTTTTTATGGATATGTAAAATGTTTGCATGTCTCCTTAAAATCATCTCTAGATCATTGTACGCTGAGGGTTGTTTTAATGAGCTTTTCTTGGTTTTATTTTCTTTTAACCTTATGCAGGGTTTTTGTTTTTATTTTATTTTTTAGTTTTTGTCTTGATCAGGGGTCTTCAAACTTGGCCCTTTTATGACTTGTGGACTTCAACTCCCAGAATTCCTCAGCCAGCATGGCACACTGGCTGAGGAATTCTGGGAGTTGAAGTCCACAAGTCATAAAAGGGCCAAGTTTGAAGATCCCTGGTCTTGATGCTTTGCTTGCTTAAAAGAAGAACAAAGGAGAAACGACATAGCGTTCACCAAGTTCGAAAAGTCACAAAACATTGTTTTCTAAAATCTACAGGATATGTCGGATTGGGCCAAAGTTCAAATTATGGGAATAAAGCAAAATGACCATGTCATTTTGATGCGAACATGTATAGAACTACAGGTAGTCCTCAACTTACAACAATTCATTAAGTGACCGTTCAAAGTTACAACGGCACTGAAAACAGTGACCGGTGACCGGTTTTCACACTTAGGACCGTTTAGCATCTCCACGGTCATGTGATCAAAATGCAGACGCTTGGCAACTGACACATATTTATGACCACTGCAGTATCCTGGGGTCACGTGATCAACGTTTGTAACCTTCTGACAAGCAAAGTCAATGGGGAAGCCAGATTCACTTAACAAACGTGTTACTAACATAACAAGAGCAGTGATTCACTTAACAACTGTGGCAAGAAAGGTCGTAAAATGGGTCCAAATTCGCTTAACTGTCTCACTTAGCAACAGAAAGTTTGGGCTCAATTGTGGTCATAAGTCAAGAACTACCTGTAGAGACTGGAGAGAAGAGAAAGTAGAAACATTTATGTTTTTTGACAAGTCTGCTTTTCTATGAAATATTTATTGCCCTAACTGCAGCATTTCTAGAAGGGAAAGAGAACTCAGTGTTTAATTTTATCACTTCTTCATTATACTGTCATTCACTCTCCTGGTATATGACAAAAGTTTATGAATAGTTCATGAAATTCATAAAGTTGTTGGGGGAAAAAAATAATGTAAGCCATCATGAATCTGATCAAGTTTCGTAGCACACAGTTAATAGCAATAGCAATAATAAAGGTAAACTAAGGAGAAAGGGTTTTTTTTTTCAAATTTCAACCCCAAAACAGACATCAAGTCAAAATTAATTACCTTCAGAACATCTGAAACAGTTCAAACTTTTTCTAAAAGTTCAGATCGGTCTTGAAATAAATTAATCTAAATATTTCTATCTGGCAATAATAAAAATCCACCAAAGAATATTTAGAAATATTATTTTGCCTCCTGGAAAGTTGGCAGATAATATATAACACAAAATATTATGTTTTTATGGGGCGGTGCAGTGGCTCAGTGGTTAAGACGCTGGTCTTGTCGGCAGGAAAGCTGGCAGCCCAGGTTCCAGACCCAAGCGCCACAGGACGGGGTGAGCTCCTGTTACTTTCCTCAGCTCCTGCCAACTTAGCAGTTCAAAAGCATGCAAATGCGAGTAAATAAATAGGTATCACTTCCAGCGGAAAGTAACAGTGCTCCGTGACATCATGTTGGCCACATGACCATGGAAATGTCTTCAGACAGGACTGGCTCAATGTCCTTGAAACAGAGATGAGCACTGCCACCTGTAGTCAGCAATGACTAACAGAGTAAAATCCACAGGGACTCCTTACTTTTATTATGTTTTATAGCCACTTTAATTTGTATACCCCACTATCAAGACATAGTAAATAATATCCATAATTGATGACACCGATGACCTATGTAAAATAATGTCATTATGCTATTATTGCTATAATATTGCCAAAAAGTGTCGTCTTTTTAAAAAAACTAATTACCTCCAATCCAACTTGTCAACCAGAAAGGCACAGATAAGAAATCCAGTACGATTGAAACCATGTGTACAGTGAACACCTAGAAGACAAAAATTGAAGAAAAAAATATAATTGCAATTTCCAAGCTCACTTAAAAGCATCAGGAACATTTGCTTGTCAGAATCACTCCTCTTACAAGGGAATTAGTCCTCACGTAGTAGAATTAGGTGATAATTCATCTCTTCTCATACCATCTACTTCTTCCTTCTCTCCAAGAGGAAATTAGAGCATGAACAGAGCCGATCACATAAACAGTTCCTCAAATAAGCAAACATCTCAGTTCTTTGCTTTGCACATTCAAAACAAAACGAGGGATTGAGGGCAATCTATGAATATGGAAGGCATTTTTCCAACCATTTTTCAATCATCATTCTCTAGCTCTACAGTGACAGCAAATGTTATGTTATGTTAATTTTAATTTGTATACCGCCCTTCTCCCATAGGACTCAGGGCGGTTCACAGCATATTAAAAAACAAATACTATACACAAAATACAAAAATACAGAAATACAAAAATAAAAACCCCAATAAAAGCCGAATTAAAAACCAAATATTGCCAGCTGTGTTTCCGATTAAAATTACTTTTAAAATCAT